ACGGAGGACGGGGTGAGAGGGAGGGGGTGCGGGTGGTGGTGGGGCTGGGGGATCAGTTAAGAAATAGCAGAGGTTGGGGCGCCTGGGTGGCTCAGTGGGTTAAGTGTCTGACTTCGGCTTAGGTCATGATCTTACAGTTTGGTTTGTGAGTTTGAGCCCCACATCAGACTCTTTGCTGCCAGCACAGAGCCTGCTTCAGATCCCTGTCCCTTCTCTCTGTCCCTTCCCTGCTCACTCTCTCTCTCTCTCTCTAAAATAAACACACACACACACACAAAAAAAAAGAAATAGCAGAGGATATGTAAAGTCACATTTTAGGGGTAGCTGGGTGGCTCAGTCGGTTATGCATCTGACTGCAGCTCAGTACAGGATCTCGCGGTCCGTGAGTTCGAGCCCCACATGGGGCTCTGTGCTGACAGCTCAGAGTCTGGAGCCTGCTTCACATTCTGTGTCTCCCTCTCTCTCTGCCCCTCCCCTGCCCTCTCTCTCTCTCTCTCGCTCCCTCAAAACTAAATACACATTGGGGGTGCCTGGGTGGCTCAGTCAGCTACGCGTCTGACTTCGGCTCAGGTCATGATCTCACAGTTCGTGAGTTTGAGCCGCGCATCGGACTCTGTGCTGACAGCTCAGCCTGGAGCCTGCTTTCCGATTCTGTTCTCTCCCTCTCTTTCTGCCCCTCCCCCATTCATGCTCTCTCTCCGTCTCAAAAATAAACATAAAAAATTTTTTTTTTAAAAAGTCACATTTTAGTTTCTATAGCAAGTGTTCTTCACTGGGCCCACCAATCACAGACTGCACCCTGTAATTCAGACTCCGTGAACTTGGGTTGAAAAATATTACGATTTTCCTGCCACTTGCTGCCATGTCCTCGGTTCTGAACAGAGGCTGCAGACTGAGGTCATATGAGCAGCATCGATAGGAAGCACAGAGCTTTTCATTCCCCTCTACAGTTGCTTCGGTTATCTTGAAACATCGTTCATGCTCATTTCGACTTCAGATTTGTGGTTTATCAGGCTCACGGCTAGATCTTGTTATTTAATGCGTTAATAAAGAAACCCATGAATTACAACATCACACATTTAAATGTTTTCACAACTGTATTTCAACATAACTGGCTTCTGCTGTAATCCTGTGTATTTCAATTTATGTTTATGAAAATATTGTTTTGAGAAGGGATCCAAGGCACAGAAAATGGTTAGGAGCCCCCCACCCAGAGGTGCCTTGTTGTCCCTGGCCCAGAGTGAGGGCAGAGGTGCCACATCTGCAGGAGGGATTAGATGGGAATTCCCAGGAAATCTCCGGGTAGGGGACCAGGGGTGAGGCCTCCATGGTGACATCTCACTGAGATCTTCGATTTGGTTGAATGGTGTCGGGTCTCTGCTGCCCGTTGTGAAAAGGGAGAAAGTCACTAGCTTCTTACCTTAAATCACAGGAGGATTTAGGGAGGATCACAGAGCCCCGAGCTCACTGTGGATTAGAGGGAGGGGGGCACCCCAGCACTAGTGCTTAGGGAATTGTTTCAACTGAATTTAACGACACAAAAGCCTAGAGTGGGGAGAACAGGCGGGAAGACATTCCTCCCTCCTCAGAAGTGAGTTTCCCACACCCTGGTAGGGAACCAAAGCTATCTCTCTGTGCCAGGGGAAAGCTGATCCCTTCCCCTTTCAAACAAGCCTGCAGCCCCTCAGGCACTGGGTCATTCACCCACCGGGCTCTTCCCGGCAGGGAGAGTTCCAGCCTCCCATCAGCTGCCCTTCGCTGGGAACAGCGCCACCCCTAACACACCAGGCAAGCCCTGGCCTGGGTGACACCGGTGGCCGGGCCCCGGCTGTAGGCCCCAGTGGCCTTGGGAGAAGAGCTGCACATTGACAAGGACACCCTTCCTTTCACAGGAGGAGATCCAGCGTGCTGTTACTGAACTGTCTCCAGTCCCTGAGTTCGGCTTCCCTATCTCTGTCAGGAAATTTCAAGCTTCCCTGCCTATCGCAGGCAAATCCCAGCCTTGTCCACCAACAGGAGGGACACAGAGACTCGTCAGAGGTCCTGCAGGCCGATTCTGAGAGTAGCTGAGCCCAGTCCCCCAGCCATCCTATAATAATTGGACTCGTTTCCTGTCCCTCCAGCCATGTGCCCGATAGGCGAGGCCAGAATCCATGAACCCCTTCCCACTGCCCGGCATTGTCACCTCCCTTTGGAGAAACTTCCCGGGTTTGAGAGGATTGTAGGGAAGGGGTTGAAGGGACACACAGAAGTTTAATTCTGGGCTGGGGAGGGACTGGAGGGACACTGGGATGATGGGCAAAGGCCTGAGAGTTTGAAAGCCTAGAAATTTTCGGGGGAGCAACTGTAAGATGCAGGCCAGGGCCACCTGCTTCTGCTTCCTGCTTTGCTCTCTGCCCTTGATACTATGCAGTCTGGTGGGGGCAGAGACACGATCGGCAGGACCCTGGGACGACATGTGCCCATTCACAGATAGCTGTCCCAAGCGGGGCTCACAGTGTGCTATGGGGAGGGGAGGCAGAACCACACGGACTGTAACAGACCGTAGCTACCGCCCACAGAGGGCCTGGGGCAGAGGGAGGAAAGCACCCATTCTCTTAGGGAGGATTACGGAGAACTTCTTCTCCCATCCAAGTACTAACCAGGCCCGACCCTGCTTACCTTCCGAGACCAGATGAGATCCGGCGCGTTCAGGGTGGTACGGCCTTCGATGGAGAACTCCCTTCTCGATGGCGGCCTGAGGCAGAGTCTCGAAGGCTAAGGAGGATTTTCCTAAGTGAGGAGGGGGGCGAAGGACCTCCTAGGCAGAGGCTCTGCAAGAAGCTCCAGGCCCACCTGGGGAGCAGTCCTGGGACTTGTGCCCTGGGCTTCACTGCGCACATGGGGGCTGTGTGTGTGATGGCTCTCAGGAGATGGGGTCTTGTGGTTAAGGACATTTGGCAAGTTCAGGGTTAACGTTGAGCAGACCTCTTTACTGAAGGGCTTGTCAGAACCTTTAACCTGTTCATGTGCAGAGTGAGCCCCGTGGTGTATCCCAGGACTGGTGGTCTGGCAGGTCACGCTGGGGGGAGGAAAATAGGCAGGAGGAGTGCATGATGCTCGGTAGGATGCAAGGGGCTTTGAATGCCAGGCCAAGGACACTGGACTGTGTCCTTGGGACCGGTGAGGAGTCTCAGAAGGCTGAAAGATTTAACTGAGGGATTTTGACGCAGGGGACTCGGGGCAGTTTAGTACCCAGCAAGGTGAGGGCTGTGGCAGGACATGGCCAGCCCCTCTCTCCTTGACGGCAGGTTCACCCTGTGGGAGAGGAAGCAGAATCCATGGACATAGGCAGAGAAGTTCAGAGAGGCAGGCTAGAAGGTACAGAAGGCTGAGCCACCATTGAATCCAAGGGTGGGTGAAGTGTCTTGGGCCCAGTGGTCAAGGCTGCTCGGTTCAAATCCGGACCCCCCTACTCCCTGGCTGTGGGTATCAGACCCTATCTCCCTGGGACCTCAAGCTTTTTGCTTCTCTTTTTTTTTAAAGTAGACACTGTTTCTTTAGAGCAATTTTAGGTTTGCAGAAAACTCATTCCAAAGTACAGAAAGTTCTATGTACTCCCTCCCCAATACTCCTCCCGCCCCTGCCTCACAGTTACCCTATTATTAACAGGTTGCATCAGTGTGGTCCATTTGTTACAAGTGAGGAACCAATACTGCTACATTATTATTAACTAAAGTCTATGGTTTATTTGAGGGTTCACCCTGTGGTGTTCAGTTCTGCTGGTTTTCACTAACGCATGATGTGATGTGTCCACCATTATAGTCTCAGAACAGTTTCACCCCCCTAAAAGTGCCCCGGGCCTCAGTCTTCACTTCTGTAAGTGAGTGTGTGAAGCCCATGTAAGTCCCCGGTTGCAGGCCTCTTGACAAATGGTACTGAACCCAACGAAATGTCTTTCTAAATAAGGTCTGGCGTCCATCAGAATCCCTGGGCATGGGTCACGGAGGTCTTCATTTAAATGTTCTCAGGTCTCAGCTTCAGACCTGCTAAATCAGAGTGTCTGGGGTAGGGCCCAGGAATCTGCATTTAACCCCAGGCCCCAGGGCTGGAACAAGGCCAGGCTCCTGGCTCCTTCCCTGTGCGTGGGAATTTGTTCTTGCCAAAGCTCTTCAAATGTAAACAGAAAAATCCTATCCACTGTCAGGTTAAAGCTCAGGAGAGATGTATCATTCCCAAGAGGAGGCCGGAGTGGAACAGTTTTCCAGAAAGCCCGGAAAAAGCCCGTTTCTGCCTTCTGCAGCTCCCAGTCAGCAAGCCTGCTATTGTTTCGTATCTTGATTGCTTATCACTCACCCAAAATAACCTGCATGTAATGTCTCACCAGCTGCAGCTCTCTGCAACTCCCTTAATTTAGCAGCCAAACACGTCTGGCTCGGCAACAGAGCTCGGGGCCCACGAAGGAGCCCCTCCCTCGTGGCCATCGGTAGTGGGTCCAGTAGTGTCCTCCCTGAATCCATGTCCATCCAGAACCTCAGAATGTGACCTTATTTGAAAACAGGGTCTCGGTAGATGTAATTAGCAAGGACCGAGATGAGATCAGACAGGATTAGGGTGAGCCCTAAATTCAATCACTGGTGTTCTTATAAGAACAGGCGAGGCCAGACAGATACGCGGAGGGCAACAGGCCACGTGAAGACAGGGGCAGAGACTGGAGTGATGTAACTGCAAGCCAAGGAACACCAACGGTTCCAGAAGCCACCAGCAGCTGAAGAGAAGCAAGGCAGGATTCTGCTCTGAATCTTCAGAGGGAACATGGCCCCTCTGACACCTTGATTTCAGACTTCCTGCGAGCAGAGCTGTGAGGGCATAAAGTCCTGCTGTTTTAGGCCATCCGGTTTGTGGGGATTTGTCACAGCAGCCTTAGCGAACGAATAAGCCGTCACTGCCCAGACCCCCTGCCCTGGCTCAGTCCGCCCCTCAGCCCGAAGGAAGGACCCCACACATAGGCAATTCTCCAGACTGGCATTTTAATGTGGCTGGTTGTGATCAGAACTGTTTTCTCCCAGCCAACATCCCTGAATTCTGCATGTACTAGGCCTGTTTCCTACCACAAGGACAAGGGCCCTGTGTCCTCCGCCTGGAAGGCTATAATCCAAGAAGAGCTGAAACTGTAGTAGTGACAAACAGACATCGGTCCCAGGGGCAGTGTCTGGCAGGTGGTGCTGGGTTGTGGTTCCTGGGCTCAGCTAAGGGTGAGGCTGGGCAGGTCACTGCAGCTTCATGCCACACCGGCGCCGTGAGTCCTTCCGGGCAATGGGGCTGAAGTTCACAATCTCCTTGTAGATGTGCTCTGAGAAACACAGGGTGGCCCGAGGTGTGAGGTGGATGGGGGGGCGGGGGCGGGTGCCCAGAGCAAAAGAGAGGCCCCCTCCCCGGATGTAACATGGAGCAGAAGAAGTCAGCTAAGGGAGTAAGAAATGCACACAGGAGACAATATCTGCTCAGAGAGAAGGAGGTGTTGATAGTGATCCAGGAGGGCGGTGGGGCCGCCAGAGGCCACGCATGGAAACCGTGGAGGCAAAGGAGAGAGAGGCTGCAGGCAGAGAGAGGACGAACCCGAGGCCCCCAGCTCTTACGCTTCCATTCATCCACTGTGAGTTTCTCATGTTCTAAGGAGTCATCAAATGGCTGCGGGGCCTCTGTCTCCTCCTCTGGGTCTCGGAAGGGTTCAAAGAAGGGGTGGGCGAGGGCCTGCGAGGCCGTCAGACGCTTGTCCACATCCAGCTCCAACATCTTCTCTAGCAGGTCTGTGGCTGCAGCGACAGAACACTCATCTCACATCCCAGGCCTGGGAGAGCCCGCCCGCTGGGACAGACGTCAGAGGCCCGTCAGAGACCGGTGGAAGGCAGGGCCCAAGACTCACCCTGGGGGCTGGCCCGTGGGAAGAGCTGAGAGAAATCCTTCTTGGGGCTCTGTGGCAGGGACTGGATGTAGGATTTGGCCTGGAAGACAGAGAAGCACTGAGTAATCTCCACCTGTCAGCCCCTCGGGCTCAGGACTTGGGGTACAGAGCAGGGGGGACCCCAGAAACGCCCCGGAACTGGGCTGAAGGCTCAGGCCAAAGCCCAAAGTGGGATGAAGGCAAGAGCATCTGCCAGGGCAAAAAGGAGGCAACGGGGGAGCCCTTCTTCCCAAAGGCCCACGGCCCACGTGACCCCTGGTTAGCCAAGTGCACAGCCGAGGCCAGTCTAGACCCATTTGCCACTCACTGCTTTGTCATTCAACTTCTGCACAAACTCTGCACCCGGCACCCCGGTCACTTTCAGGATCTGGGACAGCTGGTCCAGGTCTTGGCAGTGGGTTAAGGCTCCGCCTCACTCTCTGCTGGTAGATCTGAGGCTGCCCTTCCCGCCGCCCTTCCGTCACTCCCACCCAGGCCCCGGGGCAATGAGCCAGGCTCCAGACGTGCCTTCCTTCCAGGGAGGACACAGGTCTCTGGAAGGCTTCCCACCCACCAGGCTGGGTTAAGAGTCCTTCGCCACAAATGTTCCTGGATACGACCCCTTTCCAGCTCCCGTCCCGCCCAGCCACCTTCATCCCCTTCTTCATCACCGTCCCCCCTGCCGCACACTGAGTTCGGCAGTGCAGACTCCACATATTCTCCTCCTGCACAGCACACAGGGGCTCAATTAGTGTGTGTGATGCCAAAGCATGATGTATTTTCTACATGGTGCCGGAATGACAGGTGGTGCTTTTCATCAATTCCCTTACCTGCATTTTAAAATTGTTCTAGAGTCGGAGGGCACCCGGGTGGCTCAGTCAGTTAAGCATTTGACTTTTGATTTCAGCTCAGGTCATGATCTTGTGGTTCATGAGCTCAAGCCCTGCATCAGGCTCTGCACTCTCAGTGCAAAGCCTGCTTGGGATTCTCTCTCTCTCTCTCTCTC